CAGGCTGAGCGGCCCGCGACGCCTCGGCGGCCGCCCGCCGGGCCGTGCGTGTCCCCTTCTCGGCCGCCGTAGTCGGGTAAATAACGGTTCCTCAGCAACGAGAACAAACAACCGGAACCATCGGCGCCAGCTCTGGGAGGACCAAGAGGTGAGGCGGTTTACCCCCGCTGGCTCGCCGAGACGGAGACCTCGGCCTGCCCCTCGCCTCGCGAGTCCTCTCAGGATCCCCGACACATCCCGGGAGCCTGGGGCAGGTTGGGGGCCCCGGCAGCGGGCGCGAAGTCCCAGGTCCTCGACGTCCCGCCCCCCGCCCCGCAGTGGATTCAGGGGCTCCCCAGGCCGTTCCACCCTGAGAGGACTCGACACCTCGGCTCCTGTTCCCTCGAAAAGGGAAAGACACACGCGCCAAAACCTCCACAGATTGGGCCTCCCGAAACTGTCTCGCGCCCGCCGGGACCCCACCCCAGCCTCCGGCCTCGACCGTCGCAACGGGGCCCCGAGGGGAGGGTGTTTGTTGTTAGTTTTTTGGTTTTTGCGTGCTCCGTAGCCCAAGCCTCTGCTTGGCAGCTATCCTTAACGTAGCCCTTGAAGTCCAAGACAGGAAGACAAGACCTGATCAAGAGAAAACCAGAAAGTAGAAGCACCTCAAAACTTGGGGAGGCTGGGGGAGCAAAGTCATACCCAAGGCTGCACAGTACACCTAGGCTTCTGCTTAAGAGCATGGGCTCTGCAGCCTGGATTTGGGGTCTGACTCTGCTGTTTCATTGCTGTATGGCTTTGAGTTACACACTTCACCCCAGGTAGGTTTTGTCTACAATATAGGGCTTATCTCCAGAGCCTCCTGTACCCTNGAAGTGGAAGCTCCGGGAAAGGCTGTGAAACTTACTCAATTAACGAATTAGAGTCATTTCTAGAGCCAGGACCAGCTGTGACTTTTTTCTTTTTTAACGTTAGACCCTAAGCAGGGTCTTCTCGGCAATTCATGGTGAAGTTTTAACCACCATTCCCTAAATTCCTGCGAGATAGCAAAAATTACTCTCACCTTTTAAACAGAAAAAGTACTTAGTGTTATA